CGTGTAGGACTTATACAGAAATACTTTGATGACAGACTTTGCTCAGGCATTTCAGAACGTCCATAACAACATATAGATGCTGTGAACGAGATTGGTCCGCTGCTAGTCAAGCTATCCCGTTTCATAGCGCAAAGTCACATGACTTTTTCGATGCGCATGGAGGAATTTATTCGGTAAATGTGTTTCCATCGTAGTTTATGCGCATTTTTCTTATCGAATAAAAAGTTTATCCTACTCAAATGTGCGCATTTTTTGAATTTATGCGCATCTTGGCATTTCCATCCAGCATTTTTAATGCGATATTCCAAAATGCGCATAAAAATAGGTGGATGGAAACATAGCTACTGTTAACTCTTTTCCTGCCATTGACGAGATATCTCGTCTTTTATGAGAAAACGCAAAGACGGGATTTTACAGCTCTCCGTGTTTTCACTGTTATACGCTCGGGGGCGCTATTACACATCTTCTGAATGAGACCAGAATCTCCCGATCAAAAACACAGCAAAGGAAGACAGAAATGAGTGGTCTCATATTTAAGCAGATGCATATGAAAAATAATGCGATCATCAACAATAAACAGCATATAAATCAAAAATGCCTAATGTTACCGAGTGAAATGTCGATCCAGGAAGTGGTAAAGGACTGTGCAAGCTTTGGGGGTGGAAGTGACCTACTGCATCTATGCTTTGTTCATCGAACTGAATATGATCCAGTGTAGTCTTTGATAAAAACGCGATTTTTTTCAGCTTTTTGCTGAAAATGTGGCTTTTTTAATGAAACCTACCTACATTCAAGTGTTGATAAAAAAAAAAGAATGCTTAAAGCTAGAATAAAGTTTTGTTTTGTTCTTTATTTTGATGTATTGCATGTTCAGATATTCATATAACAAAATATTCTGGGGGCCATGAAAATTTAATGTAAATGATTAAAAATGCAGGCAGTGGCTGGCAACTTTTTTCAAAAACGCTGACAGGGAAAGAGTTAATATTTAAGAGTTAATAATATTTTAAATGTAATAACTTGCTTTGCAAATTGCAAATATGTTTATTATTTATCATTTATAATATATTTATTATATATCATTGCAAATATATTTAAGTACATGACATACACGTTTCAATAGAAATGATATAAAAGTATATTTTAGTATCTTTATGCTTGTCAGTAATCTTATTTTAAAGACCAGTTATGAAATTACATATAAAGATGTACTGAAGTCCTACTTGAGTGGGTAAAAAGCACTCTACAGTGAACTGCATTTATTGTAAATTTAAATTACAACACATTTTGATTTAATTGCAATTAACATGCAACTTAGTCTCTGAAAACATTACATTTAGTTCATGCTTAAGTATATTCTTCTAAAGTATATTATTTCCGCAGTAAGTACTCTTTTTTTTAAAGTATATGGACTACTCATATGTCATATGGATTATTTTTCTGATACTTTTATGGTGTTTTTGCTTTATTTTTGTCATCAGTCTTTGTAATTGCATTGAAATTGCATGGAAAAACATGACTGCATTGAAGAAAAAGACCTTTACATTATACCTACTGGACATTATAACCTAAATGCAATTGAATTCAAAAACTACTCCAGTTTTCTCTGCTCTGCTAAAGATGTTGAGTGAAAATGAGTACACTTTTACATGGGTGAAGAATTTAGACTTTCCAATCCATCATTCCATGAGCTCTGGATTTAAAATGATAAGTAGCTTCAGCACGTTAACTGTCTCAAGGGTAATAACGCTCATCGAAAAATACGTAATGAACGCATTAAAAGTTGTCAAACATCAACAGTAATGCTGCATCATTCATACTAATATATTCATTGTATCAGTCTCAAGTCAAGTCACCTTTATTTATATAGCGCTTTTAACAATACAGATTGTGTCATAGCAACTGAACAGCATTAATTAGGAAAATAGTGTCAATAATGCAAAATGACAATAGTAAACACAAATTTTTCAGTTAAAGACAGTTCATCATTGAATTCAGTGATGTCAACATCCAGCTCAGTTTAAATAGTATCTTTGCAATCAAGTCAACGGTATCGCTGGAAATGAAGTGTCCCCAACTAAGCAAGCCAGAGGCGACAGCGGCAAGGAACCAAAACTCCATCGGTGACAGAATGGAGAAAAAACCTTGGGAGAAACCAGGCTCAGTCGGGGGGCCAGTTCTCCTCTGACCAGACGAACCAGCAGTACGGAAAAATCAATTTAAGACGTAATAAAACAGACGATGAACACTATTAACAGCAATTATTATATGATGCAATCAAACTTATAGCAAAATGTGGTAGTTCTGTATGTTGTTTCAGGGTTGGCATCATCTGAGGTCCTCTCAGTCTCCTAATGCAACATCACATTCTCCTGACATATTTGCATATTTTCTTTTTTAATTCAATCAGTAGTGAAAATAGGTTCTACCATGGCTTTGGAAGTCTTAATAATTGCTCACAAGTCACAGGATGCAATAAATTCATGTCACAACACAAGTTGACTCCCAAAGCGGAGGAATTAATTATGATGTTTTCTTTTCTATTCATGGATAAGTTCCTAAATGAGCCATGTTCTCTACACAATGGCAGAGTAAGGTCCAGTGCTCTCAAATGAACATGGGTATAATTAGTGGTACTGAAATTTATGAAACAGACCTTCTCACGCCAGAGGATTCAGTAATTCTGAGGAACGCCATCGGTCTTACAAAGGCTAGTCAACCTTTTGTGAAATTAAAGCATAATGTATTCATACAGCATATCTGAGCAGAAAGGCATCTCTGATTTTTGTCTCCCTTCTTATGCAAATTTAAGACGTCAGAAATGAAAAGTATGGAAGCATATAGGCAGCGAAATTCAATTTAAAATACAATATGCAAAATGGCAATGCAATATTCAAATTGACATTGTATTTCTGTATTTAAATTTACATTTTCCATTACCCATAC